AATGAAACAAGTTATATGAATTGTTGAATGTGAAACTGATGATGTGCCCTGTAAACTTTCACTCAATCCACAATAAAAACCTTAAATTAAAAAAAAAAGGTTGATGGTTTGAATTTGCCCAGGGCTCCATGGGGAGAAGTAAACGCTGTTGTTGTTGTTAGGTGCCATCGAGTAGGTACCAACTCATAGCAGCCTTGTGCACAACAGAACGAAACACTGCCCGATCTTGGACCAACCTCACTACTGTTGCCACACTTGAGCCTATTGATGCTGCCACTTGGCCAATCCATCTTGCTGGGATTCTTCCTCTTTTTCTCTGACCCTCCACCTTACCAAACATGATATCCTTCTCCAGTGACTGGTCCCTCCTGACAATATGTCCAAAGTTTGAGAGACAAAGTTTGTCCATCCTGGCCTCCAAGGAGCACTCTGGCTGCACTTCTTCCAATAGAGATCTGTTGGTTCTTTTGGCAGCCGATTGGCACTTTCAATATTCTCCTCCAACACCATAACTCAAAAGCATCAATTCTTCTACGGTCTTCCTTATTCACTGTCCAGCTTTTGCACACATATGCAATTATTGAAAATACCATTGCCAAAGTGCTCCTTGGAGGCCAGGATGGCCAAGCTTCATCTCTCATACTTCAGACATATTGTCAGGAGGGACCAGTCACTGGAGAAGGATATTATGTTTGGTAAGGTGGAGGGTCAGAGAAAAAGAGAAAGACCCCCAGCGAGATGGATTGGTCAAGTGGCAGCATCGATGTACTCTAGCGTGGCAACAGTAGTGAGGTTGGCCCAGGAGCGGGCAGTGTTTTGTTCTGCTGTGCATAAGGTTGCTTTGAGTTGGTATCGACTCGATGGCACCTAACAACAACAACAATTCCTAGTCTGTCTTAGTCTGGCATCTCCCCTGACTCCTGATCAACATCACAGCAACACCCAAGCCTCCACTGACAGGTGGGTACTGTTTGAACACGAGGCACATTGGCTGGGAATTAAAGCCTATTCTGCAGGCTAGGTAAGAATTCTACCATTGAACTACCACCTAATAGAAATTAGTTATCTTCATTTCCACTCCTGAAAGTCCTGGTGTGGCACTGTGGGATAAAGCACTGGACTGCAAGATCAGTCTGAACCACAAGGTCGGCAGTTCAAACTCACTAGCCGCTCCTTGGAACCTTATACAGGGTCACTATGGTCACTATGAGTATGAGTTGGAACCAACTAGATGGCACTTTAACAACAACAATTTCTACCCTAGTCTCCATAATTTTCATTGCAACCACTGTTATACTCTGGTAGTGTAGTGGTTACGAATTAGGCTGCTAACCTAAAGGTCGGCAGTTTGAAACTACCAGCTGTTCCATGGGAGAAAGATGAGGCTTTCTGTTCCCGTAAAGATTTACAGCCTTGGAAACCCTGTACAGGGTTGCTATGAGTCAGAACCAACTCCATGGTACTTAACAACAACAACAATGGAGTCCTGGTGTGGCACTATGGGCTAATGCATCAGACTGCAAAGTCATTTGAACTGCAAGGTCAGTGGTTCAAGCTCACCAGCTGCTCCTTGGAAACACTATACAGGGTTGCTATGGGTTGGAGTCGACTCGACGGCACTTAACAACATCAACAACTATTATACTCAGAAATAGCCTTTATTTATTTTTATTGATTTGGCCTTGTCTTCTCAACTTGACTCAAGTTCTAGCAGGGTTGGGACCAAGTGTGCCTTGCTCACAGTTGTATCTCCAGAAAGTACTCAATCTTGGCGGTGGTGGTGGTGGTGGTTAGGTGCCGTGGAGTTGGTTCCAACTCATAGGCAACCTGCATAGAGTTTCTGAGGCTGTAAATCTTTACAGGAGCAGAAAGCCTCATCTTTCTTCCACGGAATGGCTGGTAGTTTCAAACTGCTGCCCTTGAGGTTAGCAACCCGACTCGTAACCACTATACGACCAGGACTCCTTCAATCTTTCTAGCAGGTACTAACATCAATCCTATATTAGAGACAAGAAACCCAAAACTCAGGTTGAGCCATATGTTTAAGGTCACAGAGACCGGAGGTGGCAGAGCCAGGATTTGAACCCAGGTCTAACTGGTGTGAGCTCATGTTCCTTCCTGGAAGAGGGTGGCTTGTTCTGATGCGAACTTTCCTTCCCTCTCCCCTGTTATCAGCTGGCCATTCAATGCCACCTGCGCAGTTGCACGTTGGAGGAGATTTTGAGACCTTCCATTGGCTGTCATTCTTCCACCTGCAGTGGGCAGTGGTCATGGCCTTGGACTAGGGAGACCTGGTGTTCCACCACCTGTTCCAGGAATGGGGCCCAGTACAGTCCTTCCCACGCACTTCTTTCCCTTTATTAAAGCCCCAGGTTCCGCTCTACCTTCCTATCAGCTCCAAACTCACCATGCTGCGACTGCTAAGTTCCCTCCTGTTTGTGGCGCTTGGTAAGACCTCAGCTTGTTTCTGTGTTTCTTGTTCTATGATGGGCTAAGAGTCCTTGAAATCTACCGCTAACTCTGTGCCCCATTGCACCTAACATCTGGTTACATGGGATGGAGTCTCCGCATGTATATGGGGCAGAATGGTGAGGACTCTCCGTCCAGCACTGGAGCAGGAGAATGGAAGAGAAGTAATGGGTGGACTGACTCAGGAGAAAGAATGGGAGCTTCAAAGAGCTACAGGGATGGGCACTAACCAAAGTCTAGTGGTTAGGCTGCTTGGGTTGAAATTTCTACTCCTATGCTTAGCACTTGGTGAGGCCAGTGAGCCGCTGAAGGCAGGCCACGTGGGACCGGGTCTGGAGTGCCAAGGTTTTTTTGGAGTCCTGGTGTGACGCTGCAAAGTTGGTTTGAATTGTAAGATCGGTTGTGCAAGCTCACCAGCTGTTCCTTGGAAACTCTATGCACGGGTTGCTATGGATCAGAAACAAGTATGAACTGTGGCACTTAACAACAACAATAACAACATGCTTAGCACTCAACTCTTCTCTCATGCTCTTCCACCTTGGGGACTAGCCTTTTCCTGGTCCCTCTGTTATATATTACATTATAGACCAGGGCACCTCCTCCAAGCAGCTTTCTTTAGTTGATGTACTGACCGCATGGGGGCTATTGTTGTTGTTGTTGTTGTTAAGTGCCATCAAGTTGGTTCTAACTCATAGTGACCCTGTTTAGGGTTTCCAAGGAGCAGCTGGTGGGTTTGAACTGCCGACCTTGTGGTTCACTGTCTAGTGCTGATCCTACAGTGCCACACCAGAAGTCTATAAAACTGTTCTTCAAATGAGAAAATATTGAAAACACCTGTCTTCCATTTGGTTGTTGTTACTGTCACCATAACTCACACGCCTTCCTACTAGATCAGAATGATCAGATTTGTCACTAAGTCCAATTGCCTTTGTTGGGCAATCCCTGTACAATTCTGTTAGGTATTCTGATGATAAGAGGTAATGTTTATTGAGTGCCTACTAGGCACAGTGCTCAGTTTTTCTTGCATTATTTATTATCTCATGTAATACCCTGAACAACCCCCAGTAGTCAGTACTATTGTTATCCCCATTATACAGACGGGGAAACTGAAAATGACCCTCGTAAAGGTAAAGTAGCTCATTCTAGAATGAGAGGCCATCTTGGATATCTAGTGTTGCTGTAACAGAACTGTAACAATTAAATGACTTTAATAATCAGAAACTTGTTTTCTCATAGTTTAGGAGGCTACAAATCTCCAAAGTCAGGATTCTGGTTCTATGTTGGCTTTTTCTCTGTGAGCTCTGCAGAGAGTCCTTGTCACTATGAGATTCTGCTCCTGGGTGATCATCATGTGTCTGGGCATCTCTCTTCCCCCAGATCTGCTTGCTCCTTTTATCTCCTGTAAGAGTTTGACTCAATACATGCCCTGTACTAATCCTGCCTCATTAACTTAACAGAAAACTCTTTCTCAATTGGGAATATAACCACAGGCATAGGGGTTAGGATTTATGACACATGCCTGGTATGATGCTGTAAACTAATGTTCTGGACTGCAAGGTTGGTTTGAACTACAAAGTTGGCAGTTGAAGCTCACCAATTGCTCCTCGGAAACCCTATACAGGGTCGCTGTGGGTCGGAACCAACTTGACGGCACTTAACAACAACAACAAATATTTTGGGGGACACAATTAATCCATAATAGAGACACAGGAACTCCAAAGCCTCCACTTTTATAACAATAACCAGAGGAGTGTCTGCCCCCCGACCATGGATCTCCTCTCATAACAGAAGGTACAGAATCCTTGTTATTGCTGTTAAGTGCCATTGAGTCAGTTCCAACCCACAGTGACCCTGTATAGGGTTTCCAAGGAGCAGCTGGTGAGCTTGAACTGTTGACCTTGAGGTTCAAACTGACTTTGCAGTCCAGCGCATTAATCCACAGTGCCACACCAGGACTATTATTATTGATTTTAATAATAGAATAATATGTAATAAATAGAGTTATAAATTGCCTAAATATAATATTTCTTAGACTATATGAATGTTGTTGTTAAGTGTGGTGTCGGTTCCAACTCATTGCAACCCTGTATAGGATTTCTGAGAAGCAGTTGGTGGGGTTGAACCACCAATCTTGCAGCTAGCAGTCTAGTGCTTATCCTACAGCACCACAACAAATTTTTTTTCTGTAAAACCTTTCTACCTTGAATTAAAACAGTATTAGCAACTGAGTGGAAGCTTTTGTTTTTCCCTCCTTCTTCTCCTTTAATTACTACTTCACTCTCAAAAAAAGTGGTTGAAATAAGTTGACAAATATTAATTGCCACAATATTGTAACTAAAACACCAGAAAATGTAATACAATCAGCAACTACAAAACTACCAGCAGCTACAAAAACAAAAGCTGAAATTACGAGGTTTGAAACGCCATTGTAATTAGGTAACAATGACAGTTCTGACCTGAGCCCTTGAGAAGGTTCAAAAAGTAAATCTGCATAGTTTTAGCCTTGTAAATATGAGGGGGCTTTAAAAAGTTTGTGGAAACATTCCATTATTTTTTCATTCCATTTTTTCCCACAAACTTTTTGAAGCCCCCTCATATATTAGTGCATGTAAGCTGGATTTTTTTTTTTAAATGCTTTTGTTGCTATATTTAACTACAGGAATATTTTTATTAAAAAAATTTTTTTCTGCTGAAACATTGCACAACAGTTTTCTAGACAGGCCTGTGGGTGCCAGCGACTCTGACAAAGTCTTTAGTGACTCTACTGACAGTACCTGTCATTTCTCAAGGATGACCCTGTTCTAAGAGAACCAACTCCTTCCGTCCTCCCATTGAAGGCCACATGTTTCTCTACTACCCTGGACCACCGGGACTGAAAACCCCTGCTCTGCTCAGCCCACTGCTTAGATGTGGCCCCTGAAGTCCAGAATGGGGAGCAAACTTGACAGAACCCCACAGTTTGTGGACCTAGGCATTCTCTTTTGTTTTCGGGGCTTCCTGACTGACTGACACCCCCATTCTCCCCTCTAGCCTCAGGCTGCGGCAGACCAGTCTACCACCCCACCACACGCGTGGTCAATGGTGTGGACGCAGTGCCCTACAGCTGGCCCTGGCAGGTAAGAGCTATGCCCACTCTGGTCATTCCCACCATGGAGTTACTTTGGGGATGAAGCATTATTATGACATCTACTGTTTGCCTTCCAATTCCCACTTCAGCTTCTAGAGGCCAGCAATCCTTGGGGCAATCTGATTCACGTGGGGTGTTGCCTATTCATTCTACAAGCTTCACTGGCCTGATGGCAGTTTAAATGTGGCATCTGAGGGGAGGGTAATGCTGAACTCAGCTCAAGAGCTGGTGCACTAATGGTGGAATCTCAGACATAGTGTTTAGGGAGTAAGAATTTGAGGCATCCATTTCTGGAGCCCTCAAATTATACAGCAGGGCTGTGAAGTCTAAGGAGCAATGAAGCAGGTAAAGGACTTTTAGAGATTAGGGGAAGGAGGTTCAAGGAGTCCTGGTGATGCAATAGCTAAGTGATTGTCTGCTAAGCAGAAGGTTGATGGTTCGAATCCACCAGTGGCTTCACAGGAGAAAAGAACTGAAAATCTGCTTCTGTGATGGTCTCTGTTGTTGTTAAGTGCTGTTGAATTGATTCCAACTTATAGCGATCCTCTAGCTCTGGTAGCGTAGTGGTTACAAATTGGGCTGCAAACCTTAAGGTCAGCAGTTCGATACTACCAGCCGCTCCGCGGGAGAAAGATGAGGCTTTCTACTCCCGTAAAGATTTACACCCTCGGAAATCCTGTACAGGGTCGCTATGGGTCAGAACCGACTCGACGGCACTTAACAACAACAACAACAACAACACAGGGTTTCTGAGGAGTGACTGGTGGGCTTGAACCACCAAGGGGCAGTTATATTCTGTCCTATAGGGTCACTATGAGCAGAAAACAACTCAAGGGCATGCTACAACCAAGAGAGGTCCAGAGGGACTTGTCTGCTGCATTGTCCTATGCAGTTGTCACTAAATACATGTGGCTCTTTAAATTTAAATAAGCTAAAATTAAAGGGGCTCTGGTAGCGTAGTGGTTATGAATTGGGCTGCTAAGCTCATGGTCAGCAGTTCAAAACTAACAGCCATTCCACGGAAGAATGATGAGGTTTTCTGCTCCTGTAAAGATTTACAGCCTCTGAAACCCTGTACAGGGTCACTATGAGTCGGAACCGACTCCACGGCACATAACAACAACAACAACAAAAATTAAATAACATTAAAAATCCAATTCCTTGGTTGCACTTGTCACATTTCAAATGCCCAATAGCCACATGCGGCTGGCTAGTGGCTACTGTATTGGATAGCACAGAGAGACAACATCTCCATCATCACAGAAAGTTCTATTGGACAGCACTGGTCTAGAGCAGGGGTCAGCAAACTTTTTATGTAAAGAGCCAGAGAGTATAAATATTTTTATTTTGTGGGTCAGGTGATATTTATAACAATTCAAATCTGTCATTGCAGTGCAAAAGCAATCAGAGACAATATGTAAATGTATGAATGTGTTTATGTTCCAATAAATCTTTCTGCACAAAAGCAGACCATGGAATAGATTTGACCCATGAGCTAGAGTTTGCTGACCTGTGACCTGGAGGGAGCTTTAAAAATGAGAATGTGTAGAAAACCAGGAACAAGGCACAGGACTTGGGAGGGTTGTGTTTCAGAGAGCCAAGAAGCCTTTTGAGATCTGGGCTTCAGGAGAACAGAGGGCTTGGCTTGAAGGAAAGGGGGTACTACAGGACTCTCAGAGACAGAAGTGTGGGGATGCCCAAGGGCATAGAGCATGTTGGGGTCCCCAGAAAGATGACAGGGGCTAGGGATCCCTTGTTCCCAGTGGAAAAGTGACAGGGCCGTCCTGAACACTTGTGCAAGTTGGACACTGCAGGCTTCTAGGGACTGTCACTGTTTTCTGTGCAACGGGTACCCACTAGTGTACAACTTACACTGCCATTGGTAGTGTGGGCTCCAGGCCATTCAAAGCCCTCCCTCTTCGGCCACCAGATCTCTCTGCAGTATGAGAAGGAAGGAGCATACTACCACACCTGTGGGGGCAGTCTCATCGCCCCCGACTGGGTCATGACTGCGGGCCACTGCGTCTCGTAAGTTCTCTTATATACCCCTGTCACAGGCTTGGGCAGTGGTAACTAGGGGAGGGGAAAGAGACTGATCAATCCCAGACTGACCCCACCTTTACCTGCAGGAGCTCCATGACCTACCAGGTGGTGCTGGGTGAGTACGACCGAGCAGAGAAGGAAGGCGCTGAGCAGGTGATCCCTATCAATGCTGGAGACCTGTTTGTGCACCCACTCTGGAACCCCAACTGTGTGGCCTGTGGGTGAGTGGTTCTCAGTCCTGAGACCCAGGGTCTCAACTCATTCCTCTGCAAGCAGAGACAGGTCTGAGAAGACACCCACCAGCCCATGCCAGGTTCCACACACTAGCGTTAGAAGGGCAAGAGTCTTAGGACCATCCATGTTAGAGGGACAGTAGGACTCAGAAAGGGGCAGGAGCTCCTCCAAGGCCACATCCAAATCCTAGGGCTTCTGGCAGTCAACAGAATTCCTCCAGTGCTTTCTGGGTTCTCAGTACCATGGGCAAAGCAGCACTGAGAATCAGGCTAAGGCACTATCTGGCTGTGTGGTCTGGACAAGTCACTGCCCTTCGCTGGGTCTCAGTTTTATCACCTGTGTCAAAGGGTGACCAGAAAGCTGCACTTCCTGGGTGATTGCACTTCCTGGGTCAAGAGGCAATCTCTGGATAAGATCGCTAAAGCCGAGCTGCTGCTCAAACATATACAAAACTGTGTGTCTTTGTGGCTCAGTGTTTTTCTGATGAGAAAGTCAGAGAAGGGTACAGAACCCTCAAAGTGCAGCACAAGAGGGAGGAGCAATAAGGACTGAAATCTAGCCCATCTTACTGGCCTCCTAGGATGAGCAGAGGGAGAAACAGAACCCAAGTGAAATAACCTGAGTGACAAGGGGGATGAAGCTTTAGAGAAGTAGTGCTCAGAGCCTGGTCCCCAGCTAGCAGGTACAGCTGTTGTTGTTGTTGTTGTTAAGTGCTGTAGAGTTGATTCCAACACATAGTGACCTTATGTATGGGGTTTCCAAGAAGCAGCTGGTGTGCTTGAACCACCGACCTTGCAGTTCAAATGACTTTGCAGTCTGACGCATAACTCACAGCACCATAGCAGGATCCATACCCGCAGGGAATTTGCCAGAAATTCAAATTCTCCGGCCTTAGCTCAGAATCATTGGATCACCAGCTCTGGGGAGGGGCCCAGCCACCTGTACAAATGCCCTTCGTGTGATTCTTAATGCAAGTAAAGTATGAGGGCCAAGAAGCTGAGGACGACTGTAAAGGCCATGGGTTGTCGTGGGAGGACTGACCACAAGAGCTTCCAAAAGTTGCTCAGCCTTGTGGATGGATGGGATTTGGTGGGAAAGGGGATAGTGGGGGCTTCCCAGGGGTAAACGTGGTTGGAGCAAAGGCTGAAGGTGGGACTGGGTCTGGTGGGGGGCCAGGCGCCCTGTGACTCTTCTTTCTTTCCCAGAAATGATATTGCCCTCATCAAGCTGTCACGGAGCGCCCAGCTGGGAGATAAAGTCCAGCTCGCCTGCCTCCCTCCTGCTGGTGACATCCTGCCCAATGAGGCCCCTTGTTACATCAGCGGCTGGGGCCGCCTCACTAGTACGTGCTGATCCCTGCCACAGGGACAGCGAGCAGGAAGACAGGGCTAGGGGATGGGGGCAAGCACAGGACCAGACCTTGCACCGTTCTCCTGTTCTGCCCCTAGCTACAGTCTCTCCCATCTACCCAGCCGCTTTCGATTGAACATTTTTTGGTGTGCTGGAAGTCTCTGGGTGGTGCAAAGGGTCACGTGCTCCAGGTGTGTGTGGGGGGGGTGTTGTGGTGGAGGAGGCAGGCAGGCCTACATAACCTGGTGGGAGGAGCGTTATCGTTAGGCCGGAAGAGTCACCTGCCTTGGGTTCATGCCCCAACTCACCCCAATGATGTCCCACTCACTGCTTCCTGTCCCCACAGCTGGCGGACCGCTCCCAGACAAGCTGCAGCAGGCCCTGCTGCCCGTGGTGGACTATGAGCACTGCTCCAAGTGGGATTGGTGGGGCAGCACTTTGAAGCAGTCCATGGTGTGCGCTGGTGGGGACATCCGCTCTGGCTGCAATGTGAGTCCGCTCTTTTCCGCATTCTTAGCAGGGTGTCCAGGGTCCTGGGAAACTTCTGCCATCTGCCAGCAGGGGGAGGTAGAATCTTGCCTACTGTCTTATTCAACTTCAGATCACATAGGACTTGGAAGAAATTGGGATAGTCCAGGGAAAGTATGCTGACCCCAAGAGCTTAGTGTCCTAACTGGGTCACTGATGTGACCTGGGGCAAGTCACTGTCCCTCTCTGGTCCTCAGACTTTCCCATTATAAAGGATCCTGACACCACGACTTCTGAAACCACCTTCAGCTCTATGGTTTTGAAGTTACAGTTAAACATTAAAGATACTGTCAATATATTATGAGTACAAGCAATACAAAGATAAGTACTGGACTGTAAACCACAAGGTCTGTGGTTCGAGCCCACCAGCCAATCCTCGAGAGAAAGATGAGACTTTCTGCTCTTTGTTGTTGTTGTTGTTAAGTGCCTTCGAGTCGGTTCCGACCCATAGCGACCCTGTACAGGGTTTCCAAGGGTGTAAATCCTTACGGGAGTAGAAAGCCTCATCTTTCTCCCGCGGAGCGGCTGGTAGTTTCGAACTGCTGACCTTAAGGTTCTGCTCTTGTTGTTGTTGTTGTTATGTGCCATCGAGTCGGTTCCGACCCATAGCGACCCTGTATAGGGTTTCCGAGGGTGTAAATCTTTACGGGAGTAGAAAGCCTCATCTTTCTCCCGCGGATCACCTGGTAGTTTCGAACCGCTGACCTTAAGGTTCGCAGCCCGATTCGTAACCACTACGCTACCAGAGCTCCTCTTACAGAGATTTAAAAACCTCAGAAACCCTATACAGGGTTGCTCTGAGTCAGAACCAACTCAACAGCACTTAACAACAACAAGCAATAATGAGCCCTGAACTGAAAGGTTGGTGGTTCAAGCTCAGCAGCCACCTCTTAAGAGAAAGATGTGACAGTATGCTTGTGTAAAGATTTACAGTTTTGGAAACTATAGAGCAATTCTACTCTGTCTTACAGGCTTGCTATGATTGGAAATGGATTGAACAGCAACGGGGTTTTGTTTTTGGGTTTTTTGGTTTTATGAACAATAATAATAATTAATTGTGCTAATAATAGCAACTCCCATTTACTGTGTGCATCCTCTGTCTTGGCACTGTGCCAAGGTCCTTTGCTTCATTCTCACAAGATCCTGTAAGACCTATATTGTTATCACCTATCAGAAATGAGCAAACCGAAGCTCCAAGAACTCTAATCATATAGAGGGTTCTCAAAATTCCCAAAGTTGGAAACCAATTCCTTAAACCTCACACCCAACTTATCTCCTCACACATGTCTGACTGTTGCAGGGTGACTCCGGAGGACCCCTCAACTGCCCTGCTGCAGATGGCAGCTGGCAGGTCCATGGTGTGACCAGCTTCGTTTCTGCTTTTGGCTGCAACACCCGCAAGAAGCCCACAGTATTCACCCGAGTGTCAGCCTTCAACAGCTGGATCGAGGAGGTGAGTAGATGAGCAAGTGGGAGGGCTCTGGGGTTCGGACTCTGCAGAGATATGCAAGGACAGTGGGTGAGGAACATAGATCCTGGACGCTCAGTGGGTGCAGGGGCAGCAGTGTGGCACCCTGGACTTTGATGAAGGAGTCTGGGTCGTATAATGATGAAGCATTTGGCTACTATCTGGAAGGCCAGTGCTTCAAGCCTACCAACTGCTCTGAGGGAAAAAAAGGCCTCACATCTACTCTTGTAATGATTTCAGCCTAGAAAACCCTATGGGACAGTTAGACTCTGCTATAGGGGCAATATGAATCAGAAGCAACTCAGCGGCAATGGTTTGGGACCTTGAAGCCTTCTGGGAAAACTATGAGCAGCTGCTGAAAAAAATGTGTTTCAATGAGTGTGTGAAGTGCCTCCCCTGGCCTGGGTGGGTTCTTTCTTGGCATGAGAGAGGTGTCAATCAAAGTATAAGCAATGCGAATGAAGAGTGGGGAGCATTGTGGTGGGCAGACAAGCACCAATGGGAGGGCAGGCCTCGGTTGGGGGGTGGTGGTCAGGGAGGACTCAGATGCTCATGCTAACACTCACAGTCCCCATTTACACACATTTCAGTATGTGTCAGCCACTGCGATGAGCAACTCTGATCATGGTTTCACCGACCCAAGAACCCTCAGCAGCTGTGTCTTTTTTCAGCAGTGAATACAATCAAACGCATTTTTTTACAAAAAGATAATATTGTCCACCTTACCAAAACTGTACTGAGCCAAAGAGAAGACATGAGACATAGTGACTTCTAATAAGCACTTTTTAAGCACTTTTTTTGTTTTTCTCTTTGAATATGTGTAGTAGTAACTTTCTGATAGCCAAATTGGACATTCTCATGATGAGAAATTCACTTAGAAAATAGTATTTTTGGAACAAAAAAGCAAGACCAGAAAAAGGATTTCCTAATTCTGACCATAAGTTACGAGGTAAATATTATTACCTTTATTTAACAGATAAGGAAACTGAGATTCAGAGAAACCAAGTCACTGTACCAGGGTCACATAGCTAATACATGACATGGGTGGGAAGTGAATGATCCCAGGTCCATTTGGCTCCTCACTACATGGTAATAACCTATTTGGTTTTTCTCCATCTGTCTTCCAGACTATGGCAAGCCACTAGAACCAGAAGCTGATGTTGGTGCAGATTCATGCCCTTCTAAAAGAATAAAGGCCTCTCAGAAAGTTCTGTCTTATGTCATTCTTTCCTCATTGGCTCACCTCTTCAAATCCTAGATCTGATATGTAGAAACAATATGAGATTCAACTTTATTGTTTGAGATGAGAAAAAAATGAGTCTAGAGCAAGGAAGAGAGTTGCTTTAGGCCCTAAAGTTTAGGGTGACCAGTCATCTCAGTTTGCCCAGAACTGGGGGTGGTTCCCTGGAGCCCTGGTGGTGCAGCGGTTAACTGCTCTGTGGTTCGAACCCATCAGCCACTCTTCAGGAACAGTTCTCCTCTGTAAAGATGACAGCCTTGTAACAGAGGCAGTTCTACTCTGTCTAATAGGGTCACTGAGTCAGAATGGATGACAGCAGAGCGGTTTGGGCATTGGGGGAAAGGTTCCCAGGATCAGAGGGGTGTCTAATGTATGCCGGGTATAGCACTAAGTGAGAGGTCCACCACTTAAGGGAGAGGGGGGCACCCATGAGAAGTTCCTATCCGCCAATGCAGTTTCCATCCCACTGTGAAAGATCATTCAGCAATTTAAAACCAATTGCCTTGGATGCTATTTTCCACACAACAATGCTGCCCAAAATGCAACATTTTCAGGGTAAAAACTGAGAAAATCCCCAGTAAACCAGGACAAGTTGGTTGTAGTTTAGAGTCACACATAAATCAGTGGCTTTTCAATGCAGGCATAAAAACATCGTAGAAACTGCAGAAAGAAAAAAACACTTGTCAGCCTCTCAAGAAGCTCATTGTGGAGTGGGAAACACCATGCATTTTTTGCATCACGGTCATTTAGTTATTCAACATACATGCCTTGTTCCAGAGGAGGGCTCAAAGGGAGAAGAAGACATAGTTTCTGCCCTGAAGTAGCTCATTATTGAGAGAGGAAATGAGCCTATGAGAGTCATTCATTAAACATTTATTAGGCACCTGCACTGTGGTAGGTTGAGTGAGGGTGGGCGAACACAGAGGAGAGTATTATGGACTGAATTCCATCTCCCACCCCCCAGAATATGTGTTATAAACCCTAACCCCTATACCTGCAGTTGTAATCCCATTTGAGAGTAGGTTAGTGTTATGTTAATGAGACAGTATCAATGTAGGGTATGTTTTAAGTCAATCTCTTTTGAGATGTAAAAGGAATTAAATAAGCAAGTGAGGGAGCAGAGATGGGGAAGAGAGATACCATGCATGACACATGAAGATCACCCAGGAGCGGAAGCCCAAACGGGACAAAGACCTTCCTTCAGAACCAACAGAGAGAAAAACTTCCCCTAAAGCTGGCAAATTTCTATTTCTTAAAGCTACCCAAACCCAGCACAGGTATCTGTGATATTTCTGTTACTGCAGCACTAGATAGCTAAGACAGTGAGTGAGACATTGGCCTTGTCCTCAGCAGGACCCCTTCTGTAGGGACAGCAGAGTCACACACAGCTGCACACCACCTAGGAGTGGTAGCAAGTTGAGATGGAAAAGACCACTGCTGGACAGTCAAATAAAACATAAAAACAACTGAAATCATAAAAGTAATGGAAAAAACTTAAATTCTCTTGTACACCGTGAAAGAAACACACATGCCTACAGGTATTGTCACAGCGAGGATGAAGTGTCCAGATTTGGTCCTACTGTCCCTCCAAAGAATTGGCAGGACACAGGCACAACACATACTTGAAAGGAGGCAGAGAGACAGGGGTTTGAGCAAGCAAATAGATTTCATGGAGCATAGCATAGACTCCTTTGCAGAGATGACAATGGACTTCCACCTGGAGAGTGACGGGAAGTGCCAAGTAAGTTCTTGGTTTCACTTTTCTGTTGTTATTCTCTGGGGTGGGTGGGCTCCAGGTCTCCTGTTAATTGAATCCTGATTCCTAGTTTTCCTACCATCAATAAGGGCCCATAATTGGTCATTTCTTCCTGGGTCTGATGTACTTCTTTCCCCATTACATCAGGCTGTTGTAATTGGATTAATGAGCTAACCATATTGCTGATTTATTATAGTGGTATTATGATTTGTTCCTTGTTCACATCAGATCAGTCCTGTTCTTCTCTGTACATGCTTGACTTTGGTGAAAGTCTCATGTTCTATGTCTTCGTTTACTAGACTCTCCTGACAGGTCAAGTCAATTGCTGCATTCTTTGTGGTTGATCTGTGGTTAGCCCCTATTCCCTGTTGTAACTACCTAGCACCACAAGATTTTTTTAAAGGGGAAGCAGCTCTCCTTTTGTATATTATTTCCCCCGTGGTGTGGCACTGCAGGACAAGCATTAGACCGTAAGGCTGGTTTGAATCACAAGGTCAGTGGTTCAAACTCACCAACCACTCCTTGGAAACCCTATACAGGGTCACTCACTATGAATCAGAATTAACTCGGTGGCACTTAACAACAATGGTTTTAAAGACCTCAGACCCAGATTCTTACAGCACTGGCCCACCGGTGGGATACAGGCAGGAGAGGCAAAGGCTGTGGCTCTGATTTTGTCTGGTGGACAGATAGCAACAGCAGCGGCTAGGAGGTGTGGGGCTATGCTACCCCTGATACTCAGGTGAACAGTGAGCAATGAATTATTTCATACTGCTCTTCAACAGTCTCCAACCAAATGGCTTTTTCCCTCAAGGGACTGGGTAAAAAAAGTGGGGGAGATGTTAATAGGATTATATGATTCAGTTGTGATTGTTAACAAGGTTTATGTGATTGTGAAAACTTGGAAATCTAATGTGAGGATTGGTCAATTTTGCCATCCTTATGGGAATAAAAGGCGGCATCCCAGAAGCAGAAGCGGATGGGCACCGGAGGAGATAGATCTCATTTTCATTAGAAGGAAACATCAGGAATGGAGCTCTTCTTTTGGACCACATGATTCTCTGCACATTGACCTTCCTCAACCCAGGGGACAGATATATATATCATAATATTTGACAATTTAATTTTTTCACTTGTACAAATTAGTGACCTCAATTATTTTGATCATATACAACTATCACCAATACCCACTGTCAAATTTCCATCATTACAAACAGAAATTCGCTGCTTCCTAAATAATGAGTCCTCCTTTCCCCTCCCTCCTGTCCCTGGTAACCACTAATAAACTTGGATCTCTATATATTTTCCTATTCTGACTATTTCATGTAAGTAGGATCACACGATATTTGTCCTTTTGTGGTTAACTTACTTCATCGAGCATAATGTTTTCAGGGTTCGTCCTTATTGTAGGATGTATCAAGACTTCATTTCACATTTACATTGTATGCATATACTACATTTTAAAAATCCATTCATCTGTTGAAAGAAATTTGAGTTGTTTCTACTTTTGTCAAAAACCTAAATGTGTAGAGAAAACACCAAATATTAGTATAACAGAATGTTTATTGTGAGTAGATAACAATATGAATTAGGCAGTGTCGACCCAAATATAACTCATTCTCAAGAGGGACATGTAAGTTATATGTTGTTGTTGTTGTTATAAGGTGCCATGGAGTCGGTACCGACCCATATCGACCTTATGCACAGCAGAATGAAACACTGCCCAATCCTGGGCCAACCTCACTACTGTTGCCATGCTTGAGTCCATCGATGCTGCCACTTGGCCAATCCATCTTGTTGGGGGTCTTCCTCTTTTTATAGGTCATTCTTTTATCAATTTCTCAGGAGGTAGCATCAAAGCCCATTGAAGGGTTTCAGGATCTGTCTGGTACAGAGCCTCTAAGGACACACCATACATCCTGAAACACAACCTCTAGTCAGACCCAAGAGTTCTGGTGTGGCACTGTAGGATAAACACTGGACTGCTAACTGCAAGATCAACAGTTCAAACTCACCAGCTGCTCCTTGGGAACCTTATAGAGGATTGCTATGAGTCAGAACTGACTCCATGGCCCTTAACAACAAGAAGTCAGGCCCTGGAGTTTCTGCTTTTTGAAGCTGATTGAACAGAGATAAAAGGCATCAGGCTTTTTTGGAAAATTATATATGTTCAGTCAGCTTCAAGAAGCAGAAACTCCAGGGCCTGATTTCTTGTTGTTAAGGTCTCTGCTAAGCTCTTAGTAGGACTTCTGGTGTGGTGGTGTGGGTTAATGCGTCAGACTGCAAAGCCATTTGAACTGCAAGGGCGGCAGTTTGAAATCAGAACTGCTTCCTTAAAGGTAACAGGTTCAATGGCAAATGGCTGAGGTGGGTCACTGCAAGGTCAGCAGTTTGAAATCAGAACTGCTTCCTTAAAGGTAACAGGTTCAATGGCAAATGGCTGAGGTGGGTCATCCCAAATCCATGAGCCCAGAAATCTGGATGCCAGGAGAATCAAATCAGTTTTGTCAGCATACATGCATCGATGACACTACTCTCATATCCCTTGGGTATATGGTGTTCCATCATATTATCCCTTTAAAATTGATACTTTGAGCCCCTTCTCATGCCACTTGAGGCTGCTTGGTTCGTTGGTTCTTGCAGCTTTGAGTATGCAACTAAGGCCCACTGGGCGGCGCCTGGATTTATGAGGGCGAAGTGGCAGAAGAAGCAGATGGTGGTGGTTGTGTGCCGTGGAGTCGGTTCCGACTTATAATGACCCTGTACAGGGTTTCCGAGGCTGCAAATCTTTACGGGAGCAGAAAGCCTCATCTTTCTCCCGCGGAGCAGCTGGTAGTTTCGAACTGCTGACCTTGAGGTTAGCAGCCCGATTCGTAACCACTACGCTACCAGAAGAAGCAGAAGCAGTGGCTAAAACGGAAGAGAAGAAAGATGAGGCAGAGATCCAAGTAAACGGTATTGAAACAGATGAATCAGGGAGAGAAATGAGCGCATGCTGCTGCAGTGGACATTGCTTCTGATGTCTTCACCTCTTTTTTTGTTGTTGTTCTTCACCTTTTGAAAGAAGATTTAAAAAAAATCTTTCCCCTGATTTGTTAAACTGAAAATAAAGCTATGAAGAGAACTTATTGTAAAATAAAAAATGATCA